TAGTTGCCTCTTCGGCATGGGCAAAATCAAAGATCAAGGAGAGTGGACTACGAGTCGCTCCCAGAGCCTAAGCGCTAAAGTGTCGAACTAGCAAAGACTTCGGCACCACATAAGACCTAGTCGCTTCTTCGGCATGGGCAAAATCAAGGGTAAGGAGAGTGGATTGCAAGTCGCTCCCAGAGCCTAAGGAATTGAGTCGACGCTTACGAGCTCATCGAATTAGTCATTTGAGGCCAAAAGGAGCAATCTACTCCCTTCGCCGAGTTACTTTCAACTCGGGAGTGGGGGGCAAATGATGAGGGCGGATTTAGCCCTCCAATGACATCGTGACACATGGCACCTCGGAACAACTAGGTGACACCCAGAACCAATTAGGCAACAACTTGCCTTAGCCAAGTTGATGGTGTCCCACCTGGCGACCTAGCGGCTTGGCCCAAGCGCGACCTGGCGGCCTAGCCCAGGTGCGACCTAGCGGCCTGGTCCAGGAATGAACTGGTGGCCTGGCCCAGGCACGAACTGGCGGCCCTGGCCCAGGCGCGACCTAGTGGCCTAGCATAGGCGCCGACCTGGCAGCCTGGCACGGGCGCTGACCTAGTGGCTTGGCCCAGGTGCCGACCTGGCGGCCTGGCCCAGGTGCCGACCTGGCGGCCTGGCACAGGTGCCGACCTGGCGACCTGCGAGACATGCTCGCCGACAAATTCGGAATGCATATCCTAACACTCCTACGATCCTTGGAAGTTGACCCATGTGCCGAACGATCCGGATGGTGCTCAATGTGCATGGCGGTTGCCTCAGGGAATCTCGGACCACTTAGATGACTTCTCGGAAATCTCAGATGCGGTGCGTGAAGCCCACGCCAAACAATGCCTATATAAAGGCACCAACCCCAATGGCATAGGGGGGGCAAGTAAGCATATTCTAGCTCTCATACTTTGTGATTTTTAGCTCGTAGTCTACTATGAGAGTTCTGACTTCAGCATCGGAGCGACCTCACCAGGTTAGCCACCCCGGGTCCTCTGACATTGATTCCTTGCTGGTCTCTAAAGAACTACGAAGCTCAACAATCAATCCAGCTCGCCACCAGGCAGTTCGGCCCTCTGGTCAGCTCGACAACTAATAGGCAGCTCGGCACTCTGGTCAGCCTGGCAACTAATAGGCAGCTCGACCCTCTGGTCAGCTCGGCAACTAATAGGCAGCTTGGCCCTCTGGTCAGCTCGGCACCTAATAGGCAGCTCGACACTCTGGTCAACTCGTCACCTAACCTGCCTAGCTCGGCCCAGTCAGCTTGTCACCTAACCTGCCTAGCTCGGCCCAGTCAGTTCGACACCTAACCTGCCCAGCTCGGCCCAGTTAACTCAGCATCTAATCTGCCCCCAACTCTGCCTGGTCAGCTCGGCATCCAGGTCCTCATCCAGCAAAAGTTCACTTCGGCCTCTGAGTCATCGACCACTTGGAAGTAGACCAAATGATGAGGTACTTAGCACAAAAATTTGATACATCACCAAAAGTTGATTCATCAGAAAATAATCTTGCTCTTATTTAACCTTTGAAGGCCATACAAAGCATAAAGGATTTTCGTTCTACTAAAAAGAAGAAAGTAGAAAAGATTAATTTTTATGGCTAACTTTCAAATGTATGAACTATGGGTTACCTCGTAACAATAGTGTGTAAAGAATAGAGATGTTGTAGTTTTAAGTGGAACCAATCCATTGAAGCTGAAACTAATTGATTGTTTTACTAATGTTTTCTTTAGGGTTGTAAATGGATCAGATTCAAATCGGATTTAGCAAATCTTGAATTTGATCCGATTATTAAAAATTTGAATCCAAACCCGATTCAAAATCTGATTGGATTTCAAGACCTCGGATTATTAAAAACTAATTTATTGTATATATTAAAAATAATAATGCATGCTTCAAATCAAAGGGAAATACATAGAAAGATATAAGAACAAAAAAAGGGAAAACTTAGAAAATAATAAGAAAATTTATCTATTTGCTTCACTTTTTTTTATCAATGAATATCAAATAAAAATGTAGGTTCTAAATCAAAGGGAAGACCATACCGATTATTTTCTCTCTAAATTTGTATTTTGGGTGCAAGATTTTGTATGGGTAAAGAGTTTTAGACTTTTAGGAATGTTCTCTTTCTTTTCGAAAAATATGTAAACACAAATAACAATATAACACAATAAAACAATTGGAGTGAAAGTAATGGAAAAAAATAAGAATGGGTTGAACCAAACCTAGAATAGAGAACCTGCTGTTGTTGCAACCAGAATAGAAGCTTCCCAATCCAATTTCGTTGCCCTTGTTCATCATTTCTTGAAAAACTCCTTGGATTTTTGGGCGGAATATTTTAGAATGTGGGAACAACTCCTCAACAACAAAAGGGTTGAGTATGCTTGGCGGGTAAGTTGAAAAATTTTTTCTTAATTTTTTGGGATTTTTACATAAAAATGATGAAGTATGATCATTTAGCAAAATCAGATATGTTTTCAAAAAAATAACCAAAATAGTGAGCAGGAAAGGTTTTGTTTTTTTGGACTAAAATGCCTCCAATTCCTTCCATCAATGAAATGTTGCCTTGAAATAAAAATAAAAAATAATAGAAAGACCTGGCTACCTTTCCATCCACTGTTTGATTTTATGTGACCGTTCTAACCCAGTTCTCCTCTAGTGTGTGCCAAGTTAGCTTTTCTCAAAGCTCTTGTGCAGGAAAATCAATGGGAGTAAAAGGGATCAAGAAGAAATGTAAGAAAGGCTACAAAGGTTATTAGAGAGGAACATCTTTCCTCGAAACTCACCAAACACCTAGCTACGATGAGAAGGATCAATGGAAAACGAGAGACAATTCATTATTGGGTTTAATACAAGAATTTGTTGGAGAGATGTGTTTTTCTTTGGATTGGGCAGGAAGAAATTAGAATTCCTGATTTTCATTAACACCATTATTAAAATCATGTTAGCGAAAAGCTAGTAGCAAGAGAGGAGGGAGAAGATAAAGAAAATAATGTTTTATGAAATGGGGGAAGAAGAGAGAGAGAGAGTCGGGAAAGAGATCTTAATTTGCCGCCACTATCGGTGGTGTTTGAACGAATGATATGATGAATGGTTGTGTTTCAAATTTTCAATTGAGGAATTTAAGACAGGGCAAATTGGTCTAAAAATTTAATTTTTGTCCTTCACTGTTTTTCTAATTTCCTTCTGAACGTATTTGACTTTTAAGTTGGAAAAAAGCATAGAAAATAAGTAACTGGAGTGTTAACTCCCCTCCCTTATCTCAACACACTCACCTAAACCATTTACGTGTTACAATGAAGATGAAATTACAGCTTGCGACGTACTTGTAACTAGGGTTTAGCATGGGTTGGTTCGGTTTGATTCCATGCAAGAATTTAAAATCTACCTTGTAGGGGTCAGTTTTTGGAACTGCAACCTACCTTGTGAAGGTTTGTTCCATGGATCAGATTCTTCTTTGCTCTTTCCCTTGAAAAAAAAAAACAAAAGAAGCATGTTCTTTAAAAACTTAATTGATAAATTCTTTAAAACTAATATTATCTTTATTGATTAAATTGAGAAACTTAATATATAAATTATCATTATATGGTTCTGAAGCTTGTAAAATTTGTGAATATTACCTTTAAAATTATTTATTGTACACATTTAAATATTAAAAATGAAAACAAATGATAAAATCATCAAGTGACTCAATGAAAAGTGAGACCATAGCCTTTGTTACCATGAGTGTTTTGGTTCAAATCTTCACATCCCCAAAATTATTTTGGAGTTCCACCAAGGCAGCTCCCACCAAGGCTAACCAAATCTAGTTCATCGGGTCGATTCGGATAACATAAACCCCTAGACCCTGGAACCGGCCTAGGTGGGGGTTGGTTCCAAGAATTTTGGAACCATATCCTACCCTAAAACAAATTGGATAGGGTCAATTCAAGACTGGTTCAAGGTCGATTCTATTTGATTCCGAGTAGAACCTCCCATCTGATTCCAAGATGAAGAGCTTCAAAACAGCTGAACCAACTTAATTCAATTTTGGCTTAACCCTCCCAAATGGGGATAGGCTATAGCCCATATATAGGTAGTAATTTATACTTTTATTTCGGTTAGGATCTGCTACCAACCCTGTCCCAACAAGGAGCCTCACATCAAGATCAAATGTCAATTGTCATTCATAGGGAGATGTTGGGATCTTTTGCCAACAAAACTCGTTCCAACACTTGACCAACTTCATCTAACACTGCGCATCTCACCATGAGACTAGGACCTACCATAAAAGTGAGATCCCGGTGTATGAGATGTGTGGTGTGAGATGTGTTGGTACTTGGTAGGTTGTTGAAATTTAGGGATGTCCATAATTCAGTTAACCGAGGGCCTATTTTTGAAACCAAACCAATACTACCGGTTTATAGAAAACCAGTAACTGAAAACAAATTGAAGCCGATCAGTTTATCGGTTGATCGGTTTAGTTCATTGATTTTTTGGTTTTTTTATTTTTACAATATATATTATAAAAAATATATAAATATATAATAAAAAACTAAATATATATATAATATTATATTTTAAATAATAAATAATATATTATATATTATAAATATATATTTATATTTAATACATATTTATTAATTTATATATAATATATAAAAAATAAAAAATATATAATATACATAAATATATATAAAATATAGAAATATATATATACTTGTTCGTTTGATTAACCGCCGCTTTTCTATATTCATTAACGGAATTTTTTTAAAATACTGAACCGAATTCGATTAACTGAATTTTCGGTTCGATTTTGGGTTTTTCTTGCTCACCCCACTTGAAATGTATTTCATTGGCAGGCGATCCGAACTCGATGTTTCCGATGTACGGCTGCAATTTACAGTTGGGATGTTGGCACTGTGTGTTGGTAGCTGATCCGAATTCATCTATTTCATATGTGTCCAATATTTGGCCGCGTTGTATGAACACTTGCTATGCTACTTGCTACCGTCTTACAAAATTGAAGCTTCAAACATGGGTCGGTCCCTCAGAGACCGAAACAGAACCCATAAACAATGGCCATGATTCGTTATCCATATATTGTGGCCATGGAAAACCATTCATTGTTTTTTTTTCCTCTAATTTCACTTCGTTCTCGATGATACAGTTGGAGCTGTTGTAGTTGCAGTTACCGCTCTTAATTTCTTGGCTCTTTTTGATGGCTTCAACGGCGTCAAAGATTACTCCGGGGGTGCTCTCTATCTCTTCTCCTCTTCGCTGTCGGAGGTGGCTGCCCCTCAGTTGCCTAGTCTCTACTGGCAAGTGTTCCTCAGGCCCTTGCTTGGCTAGCTCTTCCCGGGTTTTGAGAACTTCCAAGACCGTTGTCTGCAAGGCGACTGAAGTTTCTGTGGCCCAAGAGTCTCAAGCTTCTGGAGACAGTGGTGGGAGCGGGAAGAAATGGGTTCCGGTTGTCCCGCTGGCGGCACTGCCAAAGGGAGAGCGGCGTGTAATCATACAGGATGGGGAGACGATTCTTCTTCTCTGGTATAAAGATGAGATCTTTGCAATTGAGAATCGATCGCCAGCTGAAGGAGCTTACAGCGAAGGCTTGCTCAATGCAAAGCTGACCCAGGTTCGATGGCATGAGCTGATTCCTTTCCGTTCATTGTTTTATCTTGTGATTTTATGAAATGGAGTTAGCAAACTAGGGCATTGAATATTCTGAATAAAACACCATATTAATTGTGAATTTATGAATTGATCATATGATAGTATTCATTTTTCCCTCACTTGTTATTAGCATTTGCTTTTTCTTTGCAGTAAACTTCAGGATGTTTCCTTTTCCATATGACTTTGTCCATTGGATTCCATACTGCTGCCATCCTTGGAAACGAAGATTTTTAAATGTTAAGATTTTAGGTTTTATTTCTTTCTTCATTGCTGTATCAATTGACCCATTTTGCTTTTAAACATTTGTTTTCTAATTAATTATCTATTATAATTCTCTAAAACAATCTTGAGTTGTTTGGGATACACTGGTTGAAGACATAATTTACTGATCCTACTTCATCTTAATAACTAGGGTATTTGGGTTTTGGAATGTGGCTGCATCTTAAGAGGTAAGATGAAGTCAAGGAGTTGAATAGGAAAGAAAGCTTCTTAAAAGGACGTTGAGCACACAAAAGTTTGATGAGAAAGTAGAAGGCATAGCTGCAGAAGGGAATGGAACAACCTGAGCAAAAGGACGAGATAGGATGGAGGATAAGAGGGAAGATCTTGGTCATATGGACATTATTCTAAGCAAAAATACTACAGGAACATAGTTGTCAAGGCATTAAAGCAATGCTAAGTGATGGTTTTTTTTTTTTAAGGAAAACCCTAAATCTTAGGGTAATTCCCAAAGTTTCTTAGCAATTGTCAATTATCTTTCACTGATAATTGTCACAGAGTGTTTTAGTTTCAGCAGTAGCGACGTGGCAAGAAGCCTAGAACCAATGTTGATTACGATTAGAGTTGTGCCTTTTAGGGGTGGAGGCAAGGGTGAGGAATGATTGGTGTTCCTAAATAGTTGTCTAGTAGGTAGATTTGTTCACTAGGATCTTGACATTAGAGATGTGAAGGAATGGGCAAGCTAAGAATGGAGAAACCTAAGCTTTTATGTTCGAAGGATGGGGGAGCCCTTATTTTTGTTTAGTTTTAGGTGGAAAAAAGATATAGAAGAAGCCCTAGCAAGGGGATGCATTGGAAAAAAGAGGAACCCAGAATCATTAATCCAAAAAAAAAAAAAGAAAAGAGGAACCCGGAATCTTTTTCAGCCATTGGTCATCTAGTTCTAAGAATGGAAGTAGAGAAAATGAGGTACACCAAGATCGATGTCTATGGGATACCACTGCATGCCTGGTGTACAGACTACAGAGGTTTTTAGGGCCATAGGAAATGCTTGGGGAAGTTTTAAAAGATTTGACTTCAGAAATAAAAGATGGGAAAATATGTAGTTTGCAAGAATTCTAGTTGAGATTAAAGATGTAGGCTCAACCCCAACACTCATGGATCTGCTTTTTCTTGACGAAGTCTTCAAACTCTTGATTGTAGTTGCTAGCGAATATCCACTGTTCGATGGAAGGACTAGAAGGCGGCTAGGGAGGCCCTCAAAGGTGCCAATCTAAAGAAACCACCTGCATTTCATATTGCTTTGGAGAGACCAGAAACAAGAGAATTTTGAAGGAGAAAGGTCAGGGGTCTGCATTTTAGATTTGAAAAGTTAGAAGTCCCTTGACTGAAAAGAAAATAAAGTTTTAAATTTTGGTCCAAGTGGGACCGGTCTAAATGTTAAGTGGGACCCACTGTTGATTTGATAGTGGACATGGCCCACTTTAATGCTATAAATTTGAATATTTTAACAGTGGCCCCAATTGATAAGTGGGATTATGTTGATTTGATAGTGAGCATGGCCCACATATTTAATTGGTGGGGTCCTACTAAATCATGACAGTTTACAACTATCACAAGAGTGGGTGGTGATCCATTGATCAGTTTATATTTGGTTTTAATTGTGGTGGATAGGATCCACCGATTGCAAATTGTATGCTTTTGGTTTTGTTGCAAGGTTACTTTTTGATAAATTTGTTGCAAGGTTATTTAATTGGGGGGTCCCACCAAATCATGATAGTTCACAACTTGATTTGATAGTTAAAGTGGGCCACACCTAGGAGAATGATACAAATTTGAATCATATAACCTATTTGAAAAAGGATTAAGTCAAGCCTTATCTACTTCCCCATCATAGTTTTCAAGGCGCTAAGGCGAGGCTAAGCGACAGGGGAGCACCTTCTCACCTAGTCGCCTAGGTGGGTTCCTAGGCATTGCCTAAGCGATGGATTTTAAGTAAAAATCACATATCCTAGGGTAATTCCCTAGGTTCCATAACCAACTTTCTTTAATAACTATCCATAATTTTCTTAAACTTCATGTTTAAGTCTAGAAAATCAACATATTTATGAGAAGAAAAAGAATAAAAAAATGTAGGGGCTCACCCCTATTTTTGTTATAGGAAAAGAAGAAAAGAAAATTTTAAGAAGAAGAAGAAGAAGTGGAAGAAGAAAATGTGTTGATTAGACAAAATTTTAAGTTCTTCCCTTAATTATTGGTTCAGATTTTGAAGTCATTGAGGGTTCAATACAGCAGTTAGCAATGTTTGTGTTGATTAAACCCTAACAAATAAGAAAATAATAAAAATAAATTAGTTTATAAACACAAAAAATGAATATTTTTCTTTAATAATGTTTATTTTATAATTATAATCTCAAAAAAATAACAGTATAAAAGTATTTTATTACACAGTATGCAAAACTGCTTGGCGACTGGGCGAGGCGAGCCTCCAAGGGTGCCTGCCTAGGCGTCACCTTGACAACTATGTTCCCCATCTTAAAAAACCTACAAAAAAAAGAAAAAAAAAAAGGAAAAAGCTAGACTTGACAGCTAGCTCACCTCACCTGAATTTAAATTTCAAATTCTTCAGTTATGGGAGAAGTTGAACAACCATCCCACGTATGAAGAGTGGGGAGGTTACCTTAACTCCCCTTCCCATATGTACTTTGTTCTGTATAAAAGGGGAAGGAGAGGAAGAAAAGAGGAGGAAAAGAAAAGAAAAAGAAAACAAAAAGAGAGAATAGAGAAGAGGGAAACTGTAGCTCTGTCGAGTAAACAAGAAGAGGATAAATACACAGGTAATGTATAATTTTTTTCTTTTTTATCTCTTCCTTTCTCTCCTTTTGAACAGCTCCAGTCTTAATCTTTATCCTCTCTCTAGAGTTGGGTTAGGAAAGGACTCTCATAATCTTTCTAATCCCATCCCAAGTTCCACCTTTTGCTATTGAATGCAATTGGCATTTAGTGGAGCTTATCCACCACACAAAATATACTCATAATCTTTTATTTTTTTTTGTTACAAGTGTGAACTGCTATGATTTGGTGGGTGGGACCCCACTAATTAAATAACCTTACAACAAAAAGAACACAATTTGCAATGGTGGATCCTATCCACCACGGTTGAAACCAAATATAAACTGATCAGTAGGTCACCACTCACTGTTGTGACAGCTGTGAACTGTCATGATCAAAATTAAGTATAAGAGTCCCTGTAGATGGGGACTGCTCTTTCATTCTTTGCTGCCTGGTATGTTGCATGCTTCACCAATACGCCAAAAGCCTTAAGACTGATGGAATACATCAAGCCAAGCACTTTAACATTTAGGACCATAACATGGTATTTTGAAAACTAGCCACAATTTGCCATCCCCTTAACATATCATTTAGGGAAACTCCCCTGAATTCATCACAAATCAGAGACCACTCTATCCGATGCATCGACCTTGTAATTAGGATCTATGGGAGTATTTTCTGGATCAGATCCCAACATTCCTATTTCTTGGAGTAGGTCCAGCACATGCTTCCTATGTGGAATAAATACACCTGTCCTAGATTGTGAAACCTAAATTCCTAGGAAGTATTTTAGATTTCCTAGGTCTTTAATTTCAAACTCTTAAGACCATGAACTTATGCTTGTTAATACACCTCTCCTAGATTGTGAAACCTAAATGCTTAGGAAGTATTTAAATCTCCTAGGCCTTTAATTTCAAACTCTAAGGCCATGAACTTATGCTTGTTGATTGCCTCTGGATGATTTCCTATCACAACAATGTCATCCACATAAACAATAAGCGCAGAGGTGGATGATCCTTTATGCTTGACAAAAAGGGTATGATCCATCTGACTTTGTTTATACCCAAATCTCTTTACTGCTGTGTTGAACTTGTCAAATCATGTCCAAGGTGATTGCTACAGTCCCTGTATTGCCTTCTTGAGCAAATGTACTTTCCTAAATTCACCAAGCAGTTCAAAACAAGGGGGTGGCTACATGAATATTTCTTATAAATCTCCATGCATAAAGCATTCTTGATATCAAGTTGATATAATTACCAGGATTGAGTAGCTGCAATAAATGACAGTACTATGTGGGTTGAGTTCATCTTTTCCACAGGAACAAATCAACAAAGATTTCATCTTTGTTTCCAATCATACAATGAAGGCTTTGTAATCAATAACTGCTAGAAACCTGTGTTTTGGAGGTAAACAACTTTAGAATATCTTGTTTTATGTGTGTTTTGAATTAAAATGAAATGCAAGAATGGACCTTACTTGTCTTTATTACTACCTGCACAAGGCAACTTTTGAATACTAGTAAATAAAGAGAAATATTTATTATTTCTACTGGATGATTCAAAGCTAGATCAGCAGTTGTGTTTTCCAGGATGGTTGCATAGTTTGCCCAACAACAGACAGTACATTTGATCTTAGGACTGGAGCTATCAAGGACTGGTATCCTAAGAACCCTGTGCTGAGAGTCCTTACACCTGCTTTGAGGACACTCTTCATTTATCCTGTAAAAGTAGATGCAGAGAACATTTATATCAGCATGGAGGGAGGGTCCGAATCTGGTGGTTCGGCAGAGATTGTATTCAGTGGAAAAGCTCAACCAGGTCTTACTGCATCAGATGTCAATGTAGATGAGGTATATTAAATTCAATTATCTTAATTAGCTTTTGTAAAGTGAATCTTGTTATTTATTGATTTTATTTTGTTAATGTATATCAGATAAGAATGGTGATAGATGAGGATGTAGGGGGGTTCGGTTTTACAGGAAAGAATGAGTTGATAAATGGGAAAGCAGCCATAATTGGCTTCCTGCTGTTGTTAGATTTTGAGCTATTGACTGGTAAAGGTCTTCTCAAGGGAACGGGTTTCTTGGATTTCATTTATGCTGCATCAAATGCTTTCAATTAAACATCAAATTCAGAAATTCCATTTGAGAAGAAATCCCTGATATCCGATGAAGTAATATATCCTGATAAATGAAGATCTTATTGTTATCACCCAACTATGGTTTTTTATGAATTACATTTGTCCCAGATTTGGATAACTTGGATATATATATTTTTTTGATGTTTTCAATTAAATGTATTTTATTGAGTTGTATACCAAATGGAAAAACAGGACTCATATGACTGACCTCATATAGTTGGGACAAGGCTTAGATGATGATGATGATTTTCCATGACTCCATAACTTGTACACGAGCAGAATGTATAAGAAAAATTGTGTTTACCATTGTAAAGAAGAAAAAAAGAATGCTTTTTTTTTATTTTTTATAAGCAAACAGAAAATTCTCACTCACACTTGGAACATTCCTTATAGGTACATTAGGATCGATACATAGTAAGCTATATCATGGGCTATTCTATTATTGGTTCTGCTTATATACCTCATACAAAAAGACAAACAAAAGGCATGCCCCATATTACTTCCAAAATGGGCTTCCCCATCCATGGGAACCTGCTGATCTTTCTTTTTTTGTTACTATCTCTGCTGCATGAGACAAATTTACCATGTTTGTAACCCTTTTTTAGCACAAGTGAGCTCCATCCCTGTAGTATTGCTCCTAGTTCTGCATCTGCACTCCCTAGAGCCTTGGAATATTTGCCTGTTGTAGCAAGAATTATATTTTCAAAAGACATAATAGCAGCACTTGCACCTGCACTTCTTGTTATCATATCAAAAGATCCATCAACAAAAACTCCAAGGCCCCATTCATTTTTCTTTTGGCCATTTACCCGGGTAAATACACTTACCTGGCAAGTGAGATAATGACCCAATCCCCCCCCCAAAAAAAAAACGAGGGGTTATTGGTCAATGGGAACATGGTTCCAATTGACCAACTTCTCCCCCTACATTTTCCGAAAAACAAACATGTACCAACTGTTTCTGTCATCACTAAGCTGTTCTGCTTCCCTATTATTGAAATTGCAGTGAAGCCTGAGTGAGCTGAAATTGTCACTGTCAGTTTATCTTTCTACATATAGCAGTTTGTGACTGGGTATCTTTTATTCTATAATCACCATGAATTTTGCAAAATACTTTCTTTTCTTTTCTTTGCTCAGTGAGATTAGCACGTCCTCTAACCAATGTTAAATTATTTCATGCATTGTTTTATTTATAGTTCTGTCTGGATTTATTCTTAGACTAGCTTGCAGCCAGACTACCCTTGCAAATGCATAGAAGAACACCAGATGATTTAATGTTTTTATGCCATGTTTACATAGCATACAGCCTTCTTGTATGTACTTGAACTTCAGCTTGTCGGTTGTTGGTAGGCCTTCCCATAAAGCTTCCCACATGAAAAACTGGAATCTGTAGAGAGCTTTTACCTTTCAAATTTCTTTCCAGTTTTTATTTTGGTTTGAAATTGATAGTTGGCCTTGTAGTAATATTTGATAAGCTGATTTAATTGAATATTGATCTTCTCCATAGCAATATATCAGATTCTCTTTCTCTTCCTCATATGACTTCTACTGCTTTTGCTTCAAAACCTTCTCTGAGCAATTCTTCATAGATGAAGACATCCTTTATTGATTTGCTCTGGTTTCCATTTAATATTGCACTCCGTGCTGGGTACTCCACCTGTAGTTGGAACCCATGGGTCTGTAAAAGCATTTACTGAAGTGTCATCATTTATTTGCCAGCATGCTTTCGATAATCTTTCATGCTATTGCACTTCAGATCACCAGAGGGAATTGAGGGAAGGGAGATCCATCATATGGATGGCCGACGCATAAAAAGGTGGTTGGGCGAAATTTCAAAAATTTTCTTTCTCCCTTCTAGGAACCCTATTCCTTGATTTAGAAAAATTGTATTTTTCAATGTTCGTTTTTGAAACAAGTCGGACCAAATCTAAAACCAAGATTAAAGGAGGGTTATACCATATACGAAATCCACGCAAGTAGCTCCTTGTGTAGGTGTTCACGCTCAAAGAGGATACCAAATCCCACTTCCATTAAAGATGACATAGCTTAGGGTGAAGCATGATCAACAAAGAAATTATTCGGTAAGAATTGCAATCCTTCAGCAAGGATCACATAGGGGATGTGACCACAACTTCAACTCTAATTCTTCTAGCAAAACTTAGAATCAAGAACCTTTCTTGATCAGTCCAAGAATAGAGAGATCTAGGATTTGCAAAAAGTGTTTAACAGAAGGATTTCTCCCTCTATTTATAATCATTCTTGGATTAGAGCTTCCTAATTATATCAGGAGAGGGTTCATTGATCCAAATCTTTATTTGGATCAGAACTCCTAAGTGGATAAGACATATCTTATCCTCTTGCTGATCTAGAAGCAAATCTAAACTCGAATTCGTCCATCTCTTATTAATCTCATTAAGCCAGTTCGAATTGGGCTTTAGGCCCATTAAGTCATCAGGCTCACTTCCCCTTTAATTTGTTGGATAGTTTGGTTCTTTTTGTATGGCGTGGGACCCTAACATTGATCTCCACAAAAGCCATATGGGTTTAGCCTAGCCTTTGAATCCATTATTATGGGCTCTTAGCAAGCCCAACATTTACACTAAATGGTCTTTGGGTCCAACCACCTTATGAAGGCCCAAAGACTATGGACTTAAATGAGACTAGCCCATAAGGTAAAAGCCATAAATGGTTTTTCACTTAACCTCTCGGCCCATAATGATCAAACACTATCCGACAAGAGAGGACCTCTCACTTGGCTGTGAGATACAATGTTGCACTCTCTGATTATATGGATTCCGAGAGTTAAAATATTTTGCAAACATTTTGTGAAACCATAACATATATGTATATCTCTATATAAATATATTTTATAAAACAAATTTCAACAAGTTTGAAATCAACTGCCAGTAGTTTAGGTTTCCACTAGAGAGAGTGCATTCCCTGATCATTCACTTTGTCCGACAAATGGGTGGATTCTATCACTGTGATCACCCACTCATGTGAATTCTCAAGCTGCCCCAACATATCCTGGTTTTGACCCCCGCTAAGGATTTCACTGATTGGCATATCAAAGACAGCCCAATCCAACACCTAGTGTAGTACCATAATCAAGTCTAAGGGTTAGGTATAACTTTCCATTTTTGCCCATCTATCTCCAAGGTCTAGGGCATAACTGGAAAATGGTTCGATTTAGGGTTTCAAGCAAATCTATACTACATGTGCTTTAGGTCTCACCTTGGCAACTGAGACAAGCCACCCAACCAACTTGGCAGCACATTAGTGTCAGCCTTGGCGGGATAAATCTCCCTACGTCTATCTAACGACTGTGAAGATTCTAAACTAACACGAGTTTCATAAATGTCCAATTTAAGGGTATTACACAGAAACACAACATAGATAACATGAATCAATTATGTACTTTATTCATTTACAATAAATGACAAAATGTACATCAATCTGATTGGAGCTAAGGGCATACACTGTTTAACAACTCACACTTGCACTTAGGCCCAATCGGGTACAAGCCGGAGTCTCATACTTTTCACATGTTTCTCAAACACTTTTTGTGTGAGTGGCTTTGTCAATGGGTTTGCCACAATCTTTGTTGATGCTACCTTTTGAATCTGGACGTCCCCTCTACCAATAATCTCCCACGATACGTGGTACTTCCTCTCGGTGTGCTTTGACTTCAAGTGGGCTCATGGTTCCTTAGCTTGAGCAATGGCTCCAATGTTGTCACACAACAATGGAATGGGTGATGTGTCGGATGGAACAACTCTTAATTTTTGAATGAACTTTTTATCCAAAAGGCTTCCTTGGCAGTTTCACTTGCGGCAATGTACTCGGCCTTGGTTGTAGAATCTACAGTGGACCCCTGTTTGCTGATTTTCCAGCTAATTGCACAGGACCCCATAGTGAAAATGTAACCAGATGTAGACTTTCTATCATCTAGGTCTGACTGGAAGTCGGCACCAGTATACCCTAGGAATTGTAGGGAACTGCCATCTAATACCAGACAAAACTCTTTTGTCCTTCAAAGGAATTTTAATATGTTTTTTGCAGTTGTTCAGTGCTTCTGTCCTGGGTTTGATTGTTATCTACTTACCACACTCACCGCCTGAGCAATGTCAGGTTGAATGCACAGCATGGCATATATGATGCTCCCTACGGCTGAGGCATAGGAAACCTCTCTCATGCCCTCTATCTCCTCGAGAGTCTTGGGAGACATACCCTTGAAGAGAGTGACTCTGTGCTTGAAATGAACATTTCCTTTCTTAGAGTTACTATGTTGTATCTCTTGGCAATTTTGTCATTGTAAGTAGACTGGGATAATCATACTATCCTCTTCAATCTATCTCTATAGAGTCGAAGTCCCAAGATATAGGAGGCTTCTCCAAGATCTTTCATGGAGAATTTTTGTGAAAGCCACACTTTCACCGTAGTTAACATTCCTACATCATTCCCAATGAGTAGGATGTCATCTACATACACAAGCAGGAACGTAACCTTATCTCTCACTGTCTTCCTGTAAAGACAGGGCTCATCTGTATTCTGCTCAAAATCAAACTATTTGATAGTAGAGTCAAACCGGATGTTCCAGCTCCTAGAAAATTGCTTAAGTCCATATATGGATCGATTAAGTTTACACACCATGTGTTCTTGACCTGCAACAATGAATCCTTGCAGTTGCTGCATGTAGATATCTTCAGTAAGATCTCCGTTAAGAAATGCAGTTTTGGCATCCATTTGCCAAATCTTGTAAACATGGTGTGCTGCTACATCTAGCAGGATCCTAATGGACTTGAGCATGGCCACTGGCGATATTTGATTCCCTCTTTCTGAATGTACCCTTTCACCACAAGACGAGCTTTATAGGTCTCAATCTTACCATCAGGGCCCTTATTCCTCTTATAGATCCTTTTGCAACCAATTGCTTTCACCCCAGGGGGTGGATCTATATGAGTTAAGACCTTGTTGGTCTCCATCGAATCCATCTTGCTTTTCATGGCATCTACCCACTTCAAGGAATCTATGTCCAACATACCTTCCGTATAAGTCACGAGATCTTCCTCACTGTTCATGGCTTCCATTAAGTAATTTTCTTGATCATAGTCGTAACGAATCAGAGGCCTAGATACCTAGGTAGACCTTCTAGGTTGGTTATTTTCTGGAGCCTGTAGGACATTTCTCACTACCCCTAGGTTGGTTGTTCT